TCTTGTCACCTCTAGGCTTGATTACTGCATTGCGCAGTTGGTCCAGAATGTGGCCGCGCGAGCAATATCGGGTGTACCTAGATACACCCATGTTACACCTATCCGCCGCAAGCTGCACTGGCTTCCCATTGGTCTCCGAACGCGCTTCAAGGTGCTAGTTATTATCTTTAAAGCCCTACATGGCTTGGGACCTAGATATCTTCGGGACCGCCTCCTGCCACATACCTCCCAAGGACCTATAAGATCTCACAGACTGACTGGGCCTCCTCCGGGTGCTGTCGACTGGGCAATGCCGGTTGACGACCACTCGGGGGAGGGCTTTCTCTGTAGCTGCTCCGGCCCTGTGGAATGATCTGCCCGCAGAGATCCGGACCCTTCCCACTCTCTTGGCCTTCCGAAAAGCCACTAAAACCTGGCTGTTCTGGCAGGCCTGGGGCTGTTGACCCCAAGATACGGTCCAGCCCCATCTAGAACTGAGTGTATGGTGTGTTGTTTTTAAATCTATCTTTTCTTTTCTCTATATTTAAGTTTTTGATTTTATTTTTTGTATTTGTAAGCCGCCCGGAGTCCTATGGGATTGAGTGGCATATAAATTTTATTAAATTCAAATTCAAATTCAAATCTAACAAAAAAGGTGGGGGAAATGTTTGATTTACTTAAATTATGTTCTGAAGTCTGAGTCACCAATCCTTTTTTGGAATGATAAAGAAAAATTGGGAAGGATTTGTACTAGGAGGAAGGAGCAATCATCTCAAAGGCAGTGACAGCTAAAAATGTTGCTCAGTCCTCCCAATTCAAGAGATATTTTTGATTCTGTCTCACCCTGATATTATCCTTAACTTAAAAATTTTTTGCTAGCTTACCACAGATGGTTACTTCTTTGGCATAAGAAGTTGAGACATGAGTGATGTTTGGCATTTGTTGAAGGACTTTCCTGGTCTCATGAAACAGCTGAAGCACATATCGAGCATGTAGCTGCTGTAAAGGATCATATATGAAGACAAAAACAGCATGTTATAGCATCCATTCACTAAAGCTGAGTGAGAACAATGTTGTGTGTCTGAGAGAAAATTTAACATTTATAGGACATTTAGAGGCCTTGCTTGCTCAAAGAACAAGTAGCCAAGACCTTTAATGCTATTCTAATAAAGATCTCTGAACTGTACTTGGGCAATACTGATTACAACCAGTGTATTGCACCATTCCTTTAAAAAAATGAAGTGCTAAATCAGTGATGGCGAATCTTTTTTCGCCCTCCCCAGGCTCCAGAGCCTTTCTAGGAGACTGGAGAGGGCGAAAACATCCTCCCTGCCCCTCCCCGAGGCCTTCTGGAGGCTTCAGGAGCTTCCGGAGCATGAAAAACCAGCCCTACAGACAAACTGGAAGTTCAGAATGGACTTTCAGTTTGCTCGTAGGGCTGTTTTTCACCCTCCAGAGTCTTCAGGAGGCTTCCCTGAAAGTTCCGGAGGGCAAAAAACAGCCCTACGGCCAAACTGGAAGTCACTTCCTCTTTGCTTGTAGAGCCATTTTTTGCCTTCTGGAGCCTTCAGGGAAGCCTCTGGAGGGTGAAAAATGGCCTCAAAAGAAAAGCAAAGTCAGCTGGCCAGCACGCACATGCACAGTGGAGCTGACAGGGCAACGCCTGTCTGTGCCCTGACAAATGGCTCTGCGTGCCACCTGTGGCACATGTGCCATAGGTTCGCCATCATGGTGCTAAATAGTCTCAGTGCATTTGTCAAGGTATCCAAAGCCCATGATTTGGATTTAGAGCCAAGGAAATGAACAAAAAAAAATATCCAGAAATTATGATGTACTACATTATAGGTGGGGCCTATGGCTCCTTTATGACTTCTGGACTTCAACTCCTAGAATTCCTGAGCCAGCTGGTTCAGGAATTCTGGGAGTTGAAGTCCACAAGTCATAAAGAGGCCATAGTTTTCCGCTTCTGTACTAGAGCCTTCTTTGATTTGACCCTATCTAGATGTATTTCTTTGAAGACTATCATAAGGGATACCTCATTTCCTCATTGTTATTATCATGATACATTTCAAAATGAAGCATTAAATTACAGGTAGTCCTCAACTTACAACAGTTCAGGTAGTGACCATTCAAAGTTACACCACCACTGAGAAAATTACTTATGACCGTTTTTCACAGTTATGACCTTTGCAGCATCCCCATGATCATAGAATCAAAATTTGGATGCTTGGCAACTGCTTCATATTTATTACTGTTACTGTGTTCCAGAGTCATGTGATCCCCTTTTGCAACATTCGGCCTAGTAAAGTCAATAGGGAAGACAAATTCACTTAACAACCGGGTGATTAACTTAACAACTGCAGGGATTCACTTAGCAACTGAGGCAAGAAAAGTCATAAAATGGGGCAAAATTCATTTAACAAATATCGCACAACAACAGAAATCTTGGCCTCCATTGTGGTTGTAAGTCTAGGACTACCTGTATTAAATCACTGGTCTTAACTTGCCTGTTGATGTTTGAAAGCCTGAAGAAGTACTTCGGTATCAGCGACAGTGAGAGGAAAACAAAGATGAGGGCCTTGATAAGAAATTGGCACTTCTATTATTCTTTTATACTCTGCCATGGCATGATCTGAGATTGATATGGCATAATCACTACCAGTAGAGAAAAAATGGGAGCTGATTTCTAAAAGAAAGCAGAAAATGCAGTTAATAAGTATCTGGTTAATAATCATGTCCACAGACAATGGCTTGAATGTAGCATTTACTCCTACTTTGAGCAGACTCTAGGCTAAGCCAGACAATGGGAGTGGGAGGAAGAAGGGCGCCATCATAACTAAGAATTTTTGCAGCTGTAGTATTGTACTGCTTTGTCAGGGGTGGGCTGCTACAAGTTTGCCTGGGTTTGGAAAAACCCATAGCTAACATTATGGCCAGTTCGGAGAACCTCCAAATGCCATCCCTGGTCCCGCCCACCTCTCCCCTCTCCTCCCAGGAGTCTTCACACGGCCCATTTTGGATGTGAGGTAAGTGCAGGGCCCACACGGAGGCTTGGTGAGGGGGGGAAACAGGCTTCTCGGAAGGCCTCCGGGGCCCAGAGGCTCGAGGAAAGCCTCCGGAGCCTGGGGAAGATGAAAAGCCCCACCCCCTTGTAGTGCAACTAGGTCATGCCCACCATGGCCACACCCACCCAGGAACCCAGCAGAGAGTCAGTTGCTGAAATTTTTGAAGCCCACCCCTGGCTAAACTACACTTAAGAATGGAACTGCAAAGTTCTCTTTTTCAGTCTTTTAAAAGTTTGTTGTTTTGCAAGAACAGTTGCTAAATATAATTAATGCAGCTTTCAATAAACGATGTTTGTTGTTTTTAACCACTTCATCATGTCCGACTCCTGGTGACTTTATAGGCAAGTGCTCTCCATGCTAGCTTGTAAAACACAACTTTTTTCAATTGTAGTATAATAACATAGATTAAATAAACTATAAACTATGTATATTTTTTCATGGATAGAATTACCAGAAAATATTTGTTTATAACATGTTTAGAGCTATATATCAGTGTTTTTCAACCTTTGCAACTTTAAGATACATATGTGGGCTACAACTCTAAGCATGAATGGCTTGGGAATTCTGGTTGTTGAAGTCCACCTATACACTACAGTTACAAAGGTTGAGAAACCTTGCAAAGACTCACAATTGTACAGCCAGATTTTTCTTTGCTCCCCCTCTATTTTTTTCCTGGGAGCCCTCAATTGTGGAAACTACAAAAAGGAATATTCCTATGATCAGTATTTTTTCTTCCACTAGAGAATACCTATTTTTGCTACATTGCACAAATCTTACAAACTAAACTTCCTAAAACTATAAATACTAGTGAGCCACAATTTCTAGCATCCCTCTACTAGCCTTGTTAGCTGTGACTGGTGGGAGCTGCAGTTCAAATTTTAGTGAGTCTGTTCTCTTCTGCATGAAAATATAATAACCAGTTTACACAGAAAAACCCATTAATAATTAAAGAGAAAAAAATGTAAAACCATAATTACGAACATTGCCAAAATATAACTTTTCACAGGAACATTTTCTTAGGAACACACTTTGCAATATTCAAAATTAGGTAATCATGAAAATATTTTAGCAAGAATCAAAAAATAAAATATTTGTTATTTTCTTTTTGCTATTGATTCCAAGATTAATGGAGCCCTTTATAAGAGCTAGAGTTCTTGATGTAATATTAAAACTATATTGAGCAGGAAAGCAAAGATGCTAGCTCTTCTCCTATACCACTGTGGTTATGAACAATCAATTCCTACTTCAATTGACCATTTAATAGGGAGAACACCTGCACTTTATCCAATTCTTAGTTTTTTACTCTTGGAAGACATAAAAAGGTTTTTATTTACATGTGTGGATCCTGAAGTGGCTCTGAAGATAGTGACAAAAATTAGTAATGATACCTATAGATTTGTCCATGGTTGACTTGTCATTTTCTAAAAAAAAATATGCCAGTGCACTTTATTAAAAATTATTTATTTTTCTAAAATCCTCACCTGGGTCTGTCTTATTGGTCTGAGTAAAATGGTCCAGCATAAACGTGAAGAATTTGGAGAGCTGAGTAAGAAAACATCTGTTAGTTGTCAATCAAAATCTCATTTATTGCACATTTATCCACTTACTAAAACAGAGGTGGGGAACTATGTCTCTTTTATGACTTGTGGACTTCAACTCCAAGAATTCCTGAGCCAGCCATGCTGTGGTCAGTTGAAGTCCACAAGTTATAAAAGGAACATAGTTCCCCATCTCTGCACTAGAATGCTTCATAAAATCCCAAGCCTCATACTATGTTTTAATGCTATCACTTGCATGCATAAAAGCTTTTCCAGCTCAAAAGACGTAAATATAGGCAACTCCTACTCTGTGCATAAAAACTACTCTACTTCTCTATCACTCCTCCCCGTTTCTGATTCCTGCACAGATGTTAGATCAGGAGAAAGCAACTCTTGGTCCTTGCACTACAGCACTCCCACCACCTAATTTCCTGTAGGCCTTGGCCCCATTTCAAAAGCTTCCCCAGGCAGTCATCTCAGATGTATGGCAAGGATACACTGTACAGTCCTAAACTTATGACCACAACACAATTTATGTTGCTAAGTGAGATAGTTGTTAAGTGAATTTTACTCCATTTTTCAACCTTTCCTCACAATGAAGTGAATAATTGCAATTGTTAAGTTAATAACATGGTTGTTAAGTGAATCTGGCTTCCCCATTAACTTTATTTGTCGGGAGGTTGCAAAAGGTGATCACGTGATCCCAGGACACTGCAAGTGTCATAAATATAAGTCCGTTCTCAAGTGCCTGAATTTTGATCAAGTGATCATGGGGACCATTACCAAACTAGTAACATCTACCTAAATCTACAACCTGAGCTATGAATATTCTCTCCAATTTCTAATGTGAAAATACAGGTAATCCTCAAGTTACAAATGTAATGGAGCTGAAGAGTGAATCATCATATTATAGGGGTTGACGTCGCAGCAGGAATGACTGGAAAATAGCGGAGCTCTGCCGTGTTCCCTGAAATGCAGCTGGCATGCTTGCTGAAAAACTCTACGTGGTCAAGCCGCCCTGGAAGGGTGATGAAGTTAGGAGAGGCGCTTTGTCAATCACGAGGAAACCACAATTTCCTCGTTGATCCAAAGAAAGCTGTCCCAAATGATGGCAGGGACAGCGGCCATCTTGGTCTGTCACAAGCTGGGACAACAGGGACACTAAGATCTTGTGCTGGAGTGGTGCATGTACAGAGCAGTGAAATAACTTCCAACTTTTACCCCAAAGATTTAACCAAGTTAAAAATTTAAAAAACAATCTCCAAATAGTAAGAAAGTGGCAATTGGATTTATGGAGAAGGATTAAAGATTAAAAATTAAAGAGAAAGACTAAAGATTAAAGACTCAGATGCAAAAGAAATATTTAAAGGATATTTTAAAACAAGAAAGCATGTAAAAAGTCAAACAACATTGTGAAAAGTGATCAGTGGGAGAAATTGCTTTTCTAAACTCTATCTTCAACCCCCTTAAATGGCTGACAGTCAGCTGTTTTGACTTTTACACTGTTGAATGCTGGAATTGGGAGCAGGGTAACCATCTACTGGAGGAAGAAGATTACTGCAACATGGGAAATTTGACTGAAAGTGATGAAAGGTGAGAAAGCAAACAACACCTGGAAGGCTATTTGACTTTGATGTTATCGTAGTAGGCAATTTGAAGGCTTGGAAATATCGACTGAGGTGTTTGAAGATTTTTAAAGCAACTGAACTATAAATACCAAAACTTTATTTAACCGTTCATTGAAGGGTAGGTTTGAAGGATTGGAGGAAACCTGCTGGGCCAAGCTGAATTTGATTGACTAACGTCATTTAATAGATCATCCTATGAGGCAAAAGAAGAAAAGCAATAGAATGGGAGGGGAAAAGGGGGAAGAGAGAAAAAGAAGCAAAGACAAATAAGACTCTAAAATTTGGACAATTGGGAAGGTGTAAGTTGGAAACTATAAAGACTTTAAAGTATATATTTATAGCTTTTAAGGACTAGAAAACTAGGGGATTTGGAGGAATAATTCTGGGATTGATAAATTTTATCAATAATTGACTTTTTTGGAGTTTTTTTTTTAGATATGGGGATACTGGACTATTAGAGATATATTGAGTAATTTTTAATATATTAATTTGGTACAAAATGACTCAGCAGGAGACAATAAAGTTCTATGAAGAAATATTAATGATGGCTAAAGGTTTTTATTAAAGTATGACAAAGAATCATAAGGAGATGATGGGATTGTCCAAAGATAAAGAAGTGAGTGTAGAAGATCATCAACAAATGGTGGAAAAAGATGAACAAAATATTCAGAAGATAGATAAGAAATCAGAAGAAGTGGTGTTGGAGACAAATCAAAATAAGCTACAAGAAAACAAAAACAATGAAAAGACAATAATAAATACTAAGAATCAAATAGATAATTCCTTAAGAGCTTATAATAGGACAGAGGGGAAAAAAGACTTCCCCAAAATAATGAAAGGGTTACGGATGGGTGTCCAAATGATGCACCAGAAGGAGATAAGGGGTAAGGCTATTTATTTATTCAGTCTATGTAAAAATATTAGAAAGAAATATAGGATCCCAAGAGAAATATAAAAGAATCACCAAAAAGTCAATAAATGATGACATTTTAAAAAGGCTGAGTGATGACGAATAGAGACATAATATCTTGTAATACTGTGATTGTATTAAAAACTAATAGAAACAAATAGAAAGTATACATTTGGGAAATAGTAACACACACATATATAGCAGGGGTGGGTTCCGGCAGGTACTACTGCCAATTCATTCATATGTGCGCTTTGCGTGAGCGCTTGATGTGCACTGCACGCGCATGCGCCAGTGCAATTAAAACTGTTCTCCATATGCACAGAATTGAAAAACAAGATGGCGCTGCCACTGCCCATGGAACCGGTTCGGGGGTGTGGCAGGTCTGGGTCACTGCTGGTTCCAGCAACGCAGGCTGCCAAACCACTATCGGTTTGGCCGAACCGGTCCAAACCGGTAGGAACTCACCACTGATATATAGATATATAATATAATTTACTATAACCATAAATATAGTAAGTTTAGGAATATTGTGATTAGGCATATTTAAATGTATTATTATGATTAACAGTATGCAAAAATATATTGGAATTTATAGCTTTTAAAGACTACAAATTCAGGGGACTCAGAGATATAATCCTAGGACTGATTAAATTTTATTAATAAATGTTTATAGAAAACTGAGATATTGGAAATATGATGGAATTTGAATAATACTTAAAATATTAAAATATTGGTGCCTCAACAAACACATTGTATGAAGAAATGTATTGAAAGTTGAAATATATTTTTGGAGAAAGCAATAAAGAATTATAAAGAGAGAATAATACTCTTTAAAGATAAAGAGATGAATTTGGAAGAACCCCAACAGGTGGGGGGGAAATAAGCACAAATTGGGAAAAAAGTATTATACATACTGATACACAAAAGATTATAATTATAATGAGCATGTTAAGGTTAGAAGTTGGATAAAAACTGTGCATATGTAATTGCATTATTATTGTTAGCACTGTGTAAAAATGTATTGACCCAGTCATTACACTGTCCACAAAATATTTTGGTTGTTAAAGGAAAACTGCAAATAAAACATATACCAAAAAAAAAAAGAGTGAATCCGGTAACTTGAATGCAACCACTCTCTGCTTTTACCCACTCATTCACTAATTGAATGAGGGGTCGTTAAGTGCATGAATTATCTCAGTGTGGTGAAGGACATGAAGGTCCTAGTGATGGAACAAGCCACCCAAGGCCTCCTTGACCTATTGAGATACATCATGCTTCCCCCCTCCCATCCTGCCGCTCTGGACTCACTTATCTTGCAATGATCTGTCTCCTCTCTGCTGTGGTTTCTTTGCCTTTGAGGGGAAGGAGAGCAGGACAATTTCCCTTCAAACATGCGTTTGGCTTGTAAATGTTTTTCATGCTGAGAGTGAAAAGTTCTGGGGCCTGTGATCTCGGATGACAAAAGCAGATGGGTGCCTGAAGTCACGTGAGATCATGGCCCCCAGAACATTTCATTTCCGGCATGAAAAGCATTTGCAAGTCGACTAGACTCTAGGAGCAAAATGGACCACAGAATGGGAAGCGGGAAGCAGTTGTGGGGAGCGGGGAGGAAAGACCGTTGGCTTACCTGAACAGTGGTTCTCTGGGCGCTGCGAGGAGAGTCTAAGCATGGGTTAACACAGTCTATCTGCCCTTGGACTAAGTGAGTTTTTCTTTGACTACGTCTCCCTTCGCCTCCTTATTTTCAGTTTAAAAATGAAGAAGCAACCGTACAGGAGTCCCGTTCACAGTCAACAACAGACAAAGTCCTGTACCCTTGAGAAAATCCTGGGCAGGTTTAGACTCTCCTCGCAGTGCCCAGAGAACGATCGTTCAGGTAAACCAATGGTCTTTCTTCAATGTGCTGCTTGGAGAGTCCAAGCATGGGACATACCCAAGCTATTGTGTCCCAGAGACCGAAGTCTCCTGAATTTCAGTAACCTTCTGCAGAATTTTTCTTCCGAAGGAGGCTTCGGCTGAGGCATAGGTGTCGATTTTGTAGTTCTTGTAGTTCTTTTGTAGATCATGGCCCCCAGAACAATTGTGGGGAAGTGGGGAAGCCCATGTGGTTGCTCTGCAAATGTCGATAATGGATGCCTGGGTCGCCCATGCTGCTGAAGTAGCTGCACTTCTGGTTGAATGTGCGGTCACACGGCCTGGAGCGGTCTTGCCCTAGTGCTCGTAAGCCAGCTTAATACAGGCGCGCAGATGGTATGAGAAGACGCTTTGCGGCCTAGCAACCCAGGATGGAAAGACACAAAGAAGGATTCGGAGCATCGGAACTCCTTAGTCCTCCTTATATAAATGCGTACAGCATATCTCACATCCAGTTTATGCCAATTGCGTTCCCTAGGGTGAGAAGGCTTGGGACAAAAATTAGGTAGAATTACTTCCTGAGTTCTATGAAAATGAGTGTTGACCTTAGGA